TATTGCAAAAATTCTCAGTAGTAAATTTAAATTATAGACTCTCTTTAGACAATGCTTGGACACAAATTCAACTCTGAATTTTGAAGAACTGTATTGAATGTATGTAAAGCAGCCATCAGCCCTGAATTCTTATATCGGTGCATCCTTAGTTAGCACTGCAGTGTTAGTAGTGCTAAGTGTGAAAGAATGGTCAGCTAAAGCTCTAGAGCTGTAACACTGAACGAAGGATCAAATGGCCACTGCTGCTTTTTCCCTACAGCCACTGAGCTCCACTGATACCTGCCAAACCTGCTTTACTACCACACACACACACACACACACACACACAATGGGGTCAAGTGTCACAAAAATGTAGCTTTTTTATGGTCAACATTTATCACCTAAACAACAAAACCCATCGATCATGATGATCAGCCTAACACTTTTAGCAGAGGAGAAATGGAAATGCATTTCCTGTATTTCACAAGCTTTTCAAAAATGACCCCACAAAAACCCCACACCAAACACAAATCAAAAATAACCCCACACCTACCAGTAATGAACCTCACTTCAAATTCATATCAAAAATAACCTCCCACCAAAGGCATATCAAAAATAAGCCCACAACAAATGACTACCAGAAATTAACCTCAAACCAAACTCATATCAAAAATAACTAAACACGTATCAAAAAATAACCCCACAGCAAATGCACATCAAACAGAACCTCACACCAAACACATACCAAAAATATCCCCATACCAAACACGTATCAAAAAATAATCCCGTACCAAAGGCATATCAAAAATAACCCCTCACCAAACACATAACAAAAATAACTGCATAGCAAACACATATTAAAAATAACCCCATACCAAAGGTATATCAAAAATAACCCCACACCAAATGCATAACAAAAATAAATCCATACCAAACACATATCAAAAATAACCTGACACCAAGCAGGTATCAAAAAATAGCACCCCAAACACGTATCAACAATAACCCCACTCTAAATGCCTACCAGAAATGACTCTCACTCCAAACACATGTTAGAAAAGACCCAACACCAAAATCGCTAAAAAATAACCCCAAACCAAATCCATAACAAAAATAACTCCACAATAAACGCCTACTAGAAATTAACCTCACACCAAACTAATATCAAAAATGTCACATTAAACATGTTTCAAAAATATTTAGTTGACGAACACCCCTGGATCCCCATACCAAATTCCTAGCAAAAATAACCCCATACCAAATGCATAACAAAAATAACCCCATACCAAATGCATAACAAAAATAACCCCATACCAAACGCATACCTAAAATAACTGCACACCAAACACGTATCAAAAATAACCCAATGCCGTGTGACGCACTTCTGTCCATTTTTATAGCTGACTGTATGGCATACACAGATAACAGCATTCACAGAAGTACGGCTGTGAGTAGAGTGCAGCAGTGGAGCAGGTAGTGTGTGTAGATGAGGGCACTCCATGTTTGGAGTTCATCACTCAGGCTGTTTCAGTGATGTTACACCAGTGTTGCTTTGATGCTGTTTTGACATTCCTATTCATAGCAGAGAGTAGAGCCATATCCACCTGGGAAGTGGGGGGAAATTAACTGCAATAATGTGGTTCATCGCAGGATTTCCCAACGGAACGACTGCATCAAACCCTCGGTGTTTGGCGTTGGGTTATTTCTGATACGTACTGCGGCATCTTCCTGACCTTCTTGTCTACATGAGCCACATATTTCATCCTCGCGATCACGAATGTGCTTTCCGACTATCTGCATATGCAAGAATTAATGAGATATTTTTATTTACTATCCAAAACCACCAGTGAACCTACACGTGTCTTCTGAGTTTTGAAATAATAAGTTTTCTTTGGGGACTATTTTGGCCCAGCATGTATCCCTGTACCATGAATGGAGTTTAAGTTCTCAAAACTATCATAAAACAGTGTCTCAGTCATCAGGCAGTGTATTTATAACCATTTCATGTAAGGTTTCAGAGGTGGACGTCTGGTTCCTATCACTACCACTGTGAGGAATTCTGACTCTATAAGTTTCTCTAGAACAGAGCATTTAACACCAAACGACTCTGAATGTTTACATCTTTATCACTTAATTAAGCAGAAATTTTGATTTCTCCTTTAATTCCAAGAATTCTGATGTAATCGGTATCAGGGGAGAGTTCGGCTGCAGCCTCCCAACCCCGAAAACACAGACACGGGTCATCAAGACGTTCCATATAGAGCCAATTAGACCCTGGAAGCTCAATAAAGTAATACCCTGCAATACTGAATGACGCAAATTGAAAACAAAGTGCCCCAAACTGTCACTTGTCAGAAGTCTAATGGTGACTCGTGTCCTCTATATCTTGCAATCTTTTAAACAGCACATTCATCAGCAACACAAAGCTCATCTCTTTTGTGGGCGAATGACATGAATGTCAGAAAAACCACCAGTATGAAAAAGCCATAGTTAATAGCATGCTTCTTTAGACCAAAGAACAGGCTGCATTTTGGGTGCATTACAAAGCCCGTGCCTATCCTACCACCACGCTGAGCTCTTTAAACGCTATCCAGCTGACGTTACAGTGTTCCAGCTCAATACAAAACGAATTCAAACCACTGCTAAAGAGACTACGTCCAGTCTATTTCAGTTTGAGACCAGAGATGAGCTTAATAACGCGTGCAAGGCTGTGGTGAAGATCGGATTGCGAGGAATGCTATGACCACAACAGCAACATAATTCAATTAAAGTAAACTGTGCATGCACCAAAACAAAGGACATCGTAAAAAAAAAAAAAGTAATTAGGCTTTTGAAGTGGATGTGTGCTTATTACACGAGCTATTTGTTACACAATACTGTGCAAATCACAGGACGATATACACAACAGAACATGTCTGGAGAATGTAAAACAATATAAATCGCTGTTGTCGGAAGAAAAAATGGGAATTTTACAGGAGAACTTACTTTACTTTCAATGTAAGTCAATGGAACCAGAAGTTTTTCCAAGTCATTTTGGGTCATTTCTTTTGGTCCACTCTTCATGAAATTTACATACAATGTAAAGGACAACAGGCATTTTCAAATTATGCCAAAAACTGATAAACTACAAAAATGGAGATACGAGGTTTGCTTCCGACAGCAGCGAAATGTATATCCATTTCCTCACCTATACGCACTTATTTGTACACTTTACTGTTTTTGTGCTTTCCTGCAACTCTATCTGTCTAGTAACTTGCTCCATTTACTCAGTTACAGCTCCAATTTTGATAGATTTGTACTTTGAGTATCCTTAAAAGCTAATACTTTTTTATTCCTGCTCATTCATTTTAGTGAATAAAGTGAGTTCTTAATTTTCTTTTGGGGCTTAATTTCATTCTGTTGTGCTGAACTGCTTTGCTGTTGCTTACTCCTCTCACTTTGGAGCTTTTGCACCTTATTTTATGATCCAAAAAGAGCCTAAAAATCTTCAGATCCTCTGCTGAGAGATGCTGTAGATACTAAGAAGTTCCACTGCAGCTCTGAAGAGCAACTCAACACTCCAGTTTTAGGAGTTAGACTACATTTACTTCTACTCGAGTCACTATTTTACTGAAGTAGCAGCATTTCTCATGGAGAATGAATGGCTTTAGACTAGTCTAACCCCCTCTGGTGGTAAAGTATCAGTGGTAAAGTATCTGCGCTAAGGTAAACGTGGTAAATACTGGTGGTAAAGTGTCTACAGTCACAAATATTCATGAAATACAGCTAATCTAACAGGGAGAGCCCCACATATTCCTTCTGCTCATATTATACAGTCAATAAATTGGAAATAATCTTGCTTGTTTGCAATCACTACATGTCTATTATTACTGTAGTTCTGTAATATATATTGTCTATACCAGTACATCAGCTTTAGCATTACTGTTAAAGGCAATTCCACAAATTTTTAAAACTTATAACGCATAATTAAATGGTAAAGATGTAAACAAAGCTGTTCAGAGTGGTTTGGTGTGAAATGCTCTGTTCTAGAGAAACTTACTGAGTCAGAATTGTTCACAGTGGTGGTGACAGGAACCAGACGTCCACCTCTAAAAGCTCCCTCACAGAAAGTTATTACATGAAATGGTTATTAATACACTGCCTGATTTCTAATACATTATTTTAAGGTAGTTTTGTGAAAAATAAAACTTGTCAGAAGCATCTTTTTCATCAACATTACATATAAAAACTCACTTGAATAGTAAACAAAGTGGCTATATTTGTGTTGTAGTCATGGTGACCCCTGGTTCCTATCACCACCATTGTAAAGAATTCTGAACCATTTCACACCAAACCACTCTGAATGACTCTGTTTACATCTCAAACACTACAATAATAATAATAATAATAATAATAATAAAACAGAAAATTTAAAAAAACGGGTGGAATTCCCCTTGCACTTCACTAATACAAACTTACATGCTATTCTGCTTTACCTACAGTGAAATGCAGTAATAAAGTACTGCTGCAAAATAAAAGCCATGCTGATGCCTACAGACCCTTCACGAGCGTGAGTGATGGCACGAGCGCTGAGCACTGGTTCTGCCTGCATGTCTGACAAGCATGGAGAACCCAAACAAGTCTGAACACCGAACTGTCTCACATTTGCACATATAAAACTTCCATCTGCTGCAACATTTTACCATCTCAGCACCTTCGAACCTCCCGAAAAGAGGTCAGAGAGGTCCAGGCTGGTGTTTCAGAGTGGAGCCCAACAACTTCAACTCATTTAACTCACGAGACAGCAGCTGGCTGTGATTTTCCCCTTTAAAAAGCACTGCACGAGCACACTGTACAATGCATTGGTGCATATTTATATGTTTATGCTTCATAATAGGAGAGTAGTAGCTCAATGCAACAGTGCATATACTACACGAAGTTCTGCGCATTTCCCAAAACCGACAATGACTCTGCGTTGGGACTGTATTAGAAGCATACGCTCGAAATATATACGTTCATATTAAATAAAAATGAAAACTTACCTTGAGAGCAGAGCAGCAAAGTTAACAGAGTAGCTGGAAGAACAGCTACAGGCTTCATTGTTTCTCTTTCTCTCTCTCTCTTCTCTCTCTCCGTCGTTCAGGCTTGGATATTTTGTTTCTTTGCAAACGATCGAAGATAAAAGCCCGTGTGCGCGCGCTTCACAGCTTCACATCATGGCTCGTGTTGTTTTATTTCATTTATCCTTTCTTTTTTCGCGTGAAAGAAGTCTCGTGCGAAGAAGTTGAGAGGAAAAGTGAGCTACGGCTCCACGGCCAGAGCCTTCACACACTCTCTCTCTCGCGCGCTCGCTCGCACACACACTCATACACGCACTCCTCCTCTCTCTCTCTCTCTCTCTCTCTCTCTCTCACTCTCTCTCTCTCTCTCTCTCCCTCTCTTTCTCTCTCTCTCTGTCCAACACACACTCAGTCACTTAGCACGAGCCTGACGAGCCTGATGGAACATACCAACTGGGATGAAGGAAGGGGGGAAAAGTTGGCTTCTCATTGGCCAGCTTCTTATTCGAACTTGTCCGTTCCACCTTAAATGTCGCAGCAGTTCCATTCTGCGCCAGTTAAGGTGGAACGGACAAGTTCGAACTGAACTTTGGTTTAGGTGCGTTTTTAACGCGTATAAGGTAGAAATCGAGTTTTACGAACGTTTTGACACGAAATAGAACAACGTATGAGACATTTTATAACTCTGGCACGCTGCTGTTTGGCGTCTCTTGGGCTCCTTATGCTCTCCTCGATGTATAGAGGAAATTTTGGCTTGTTTGCTCCTGATTATACATACAAAAAATGCAGAAACGTGAGAAAAACATCGCCAATGTACTGCAGAAGGATTTCAGACCGCGTTTTAGATGCAGACTGTTGGACTTTATGAACCGAGAAGTTGCTCTCATGTCCAAAAGTTTGTGGAATACAGCGTTTCTTCTGAAATCAAGCGCATTAAAGGGCCCATATGCTACATTTTCATTGCAGTTCATCTTTTCTCTCTCTCTGACGTCAGTTTGGTTCATTTTCCAAGAGGTTTAAAAATGTGCTTTTACATTCACGTGCATTTTGCTTTTAAAAGCAGTACACACTTTAAAAAAGATGGTTCTTAAAGGGTTCTTTAGTAAAAAATGGTCCTACTCAAAGAACCCTTTGCATGATTTAATGTTTCTTTGCATGTAGAAATGGTTCTTCAGATTGATGAAGAATGTGTTGTAGATGGTTCTATATAGAACCTTTCTGAAAAAGGTTCTATGCAGCACCAAAAAGGGTTCTGCCTGGCTCACAGTCTCCAGTCTAATTCATCCCAAAGGTGTTCTATCGGGTTGAGGTCAGGGCTCTGTGCAGGCCAGTCAAGTTCTTCCACACCAAACTCGCTTATCCATGTTTTTATGGACCTTGCTTTGTGCACTGGTGCACAGTCATGTTGGAACAGGAAGGGGCCATCCCCAAACTGTTCCCACAAAGTTAGGAGCATGAAATTGTCCAAAATCTCTTGGTCTGCTGAGGCATTAAGGGTTCTTTTCACTGGAACTAAGGGGCCGAGCCCAACTCCTGAAAAACAACCCCACGCCATAATCCCCCTCCACCAAACTTTACACTTGGCACAATGCAGTCAGACAAGCACCGTTCTCTTGGCAACCGCCAAACCCAGACTCATCCATCGGATTGCCAGACGGAGAAGCGTGATTCGTCACTCCAGAGAACACGTCTCCACTACTCTAGAGTCCAGTGGCGGCGCTTTACACCACTGCATTCGATGCTTTGCATTGCGCTTGGTGATGTAAGGCTTGGATGCAGCTGCTTGGCCATTAAAACCCATTCCATGAAGCTCTCTACGCTGTTCTTGAGCTAATCTGAAGGCCACATGAAGTTTGCAGGTCTGTAGCGATTGACTCTGCAGAAAGTTGGCGACCTCTGCGCACTATGCGCCTCAGCATCCGCTGACCCAGCTCTGTCATTTTACGTGGCCTACCACTCCGTGGCTGAGTTGCTGTCGTTCCCAATCGCTTCCACTTTGTTAGAATACCACTGACAGTTGACTAAATATTTAGTAGCGAGGAAATTTCACGACTGGACTTGTTGCACAGGTGGCATCTTATCACGGCACCACGCTGGAATTCACTGAGCTCCTAAAAGCGACCCATTCTTTCACAAATGTTTGTAGAATCTGTCTGCATGCCTAGGTGCTTGGTTTTATACACGTGTGGCCATGGAAGCGATTGGAACACCTGAATTCAATTATTTGGATGGGTGAGTGAATACTTTTGGCAATATAGTGTATCTGCCTATTCAGCCTTCAGCAGTTTAGCCCCACCCACTTACGCTGAAGCTATAAGGAGAGTTTCAGCCTCAAAAAAGGACTGCTTTTTGAATGAGGCACAATACAGGGCAGCCAATCAGAACAGAGTTCATTTACATATATCAGTCTTAAAGGTAAAGTATCGAAAACAGTTTAAGACTAGAAAAAAACAAGAAATATGTACTATATACTATATGTACTATATAAGCCCTTTAAAAGAACTTCTGTTGTAGACATCGCAGTTATTTATGTACTGATGTTTCCCCATGATTTTGCTCCCAAAAATGTGCCACTAAGTCTTTCCTGATCATAAGTAATGAGTAAAGTGGAAATATGCATAGTTATTAATCATTACTATCACTCCATGTATTAATCGTCATATCGTAGAACTGTAGTGAGGCTGAAACTGCAGTGTTTGTGAGTTTTGGGTGTTTGCAGGAGGCTGGCGGTCAGAAAGCTGCGCTGTGCTCTATAGTTTTAGATAAAAGGGGAGGGGGAAATGGCGAGACAGATGCCCAATGGCATCAGACATCACAGCTGCTATATTTGACCAGAAACTGCCAATCCTGGAGCAAAATGTTAGGAATACAGTTATAACAGACAGAGGCTTTTGATAAAATATTCACCCCCTACAGAGCCAAATATACTAGCGATTAAAGTAAGGAGAATCATAATTGGTTGTATTTGCTTATGCATATTAAAGGGCCAATATCCTGCATTTTCCACTTATAACATTTCTATGGGTTTAAGTCATGGGGTTATCGGTTAGATTAACAGGCTGTTCTTGTTACTGTGCCTTTAGGACTGATATATGTAAATGAGCTCTATACTGACTGGCTGCCTCATTCAAAAAGCAGTACAGGCTAAAACACTTCTTTATAACCTCAGTGTGAGTGGGCGGGACTAAACTGCAGTAGGCTGGATAGGTGGATATCTGTAAAACTGTTGATTATTGTGACATCACAAAAACAATGAATTCAGCACTTTTTACTGTTTAGTTACCATGTATGGATTGGTATGTTTTGAAAGGTTAACAAGAAGAAAATTTATATGAGTGTTTCCATGATGTGGGTCAGAGAGAAAAGGGGAAAGCAATATTGGCTATTAGCCATATTAGCTAGGCTTTATACTTAAGTATTTGATGTACGACTACTGCAACATAAAAAGTAAAGAATGAGTTATTTGATTGATTTACATGATAAATACAAATATCAAATGTTTGTGCATATATCGTGAAAAATATATTTCAAATATATTTCTCAAATATTTGTATGAAAATGGCCAAAAGTGTATTTGTTAAACATATTTTTCAAATGCATTTATTTGTATTTATTATTATATTTTTTCAAATTTATGTAGTTTTAACAAAAATTACAAATAGAACTAAATATATAAACTGTTAGCTTTGCACATAGCACAGGAAATCACACAGAGGCGCTAGTAGAAATTAACATTATGGTTGAGAGTAATTTCATAAGAAAAAACACTTTGCCGGACTACGCAGCTCTTATCTGAAAAAGATAAGCTCTAATCTTATTTTACTGTAAATGCTGTGATGTACATTGATGCCTTTAGTGCCGTCCAGCACTGGACACTGTAGTTTATGGTATAGATGTGTCAATATGAGGCGTCTACCAGTAGCTCTTTAGCCACTGCTATAAAAAGGTAGTAAACATCATATTTATGGCTACCCTAACAGCACATCATAAACAATAATGCATTTAATTTACTTGATTCAAATGTGTGCATGATTTCCACACCAATAAGACTTTACATAAACACAATGTTGACTTTTTACTTACCATTGGGAATAATTGTGTTGATGTAATAAATTATAAATGCAGCAATTTATTCAGTGTTCAGCAAAAAACCTTTGCTTTCTTTGCCCTGAGCACAAATTCTGCTTTGATGAATGACCTTCAGTCAAAACTGTGACGGCTTTCAGTTTAAATATGCATGAGACGCAGCTCAGGAGACACTTCATTACTTTGCATTATTAATTATTACACTAAAAAGATAAGAGCATGCTTGTAGTTCTCAGGTTGACACACAAATCAGGTGAATTGAGGGCAGCAGCAGTTTATTTCCACCTCAACTCTGACTTTATGAGCTGGTTTTGAAACACTTTCACTCTTATTCTTTGTGGAATGTGAGTCTAAAATGGAAATTGATGCAAAATCAGGAGGAGTTCTCAAAGAGGAGTTCACATTGTTCTACATTTCAGCATAATTAAGTAGTTAAGATGTAAACAGAGTCATTCAGAGTGGTTTGGTGTGAAACGCTCTGTTCTAGAGAAACTTACTGTGTCACAGTGGTAGTGATAGGAACTAAACGCCCAGCTCTAAAAGCTCCCTTACAGAAAGTTATTACATTAAATGGTTATGAATACACTGCCTGATGACTGAGACGTTGTTGTACAAAAGTTTCGAGATTATTTTAGCCTTAAAATCCATTCATGGTTGAGACATACATAATATGCAGGGTATTATGAGGGCAAAATAGTCCCCAAAAAAAAACTTTTTATTTCAGATTTTCTGCTATTTTACCATCATCAAAATTCCATGTAAAACTCAGATGACATGTGTAGGTTCACTGGTGGTTTTGTATAATAAATAAAATGTCTATATTTGTGTTGTAGTCATGGCGACCCCAGCTTCCTATCACCACCACTGTAAAGAAATCGGAACCGTTTCACACCAAATTACTCTGAATGACTCTATTTGTGTACACATGTCCACATGAATAAAATCTATTGCACTAGCACAATCAGTGACAGACTGAAAGACAAAGTTGTTTTAATGTGATATGCTTTATTATTGTGGAAATGATGAACACATTTGCATCAAGTCAGTTCAGTGCATCAGTGTATATACAGGGACTCAAATAAGGTCGTAATCGCTCAGAAATGCTAATAATGAGTTAATGCTAGCAGGATTGCTGAGTAGGTGTGCAGCTGGCTGAGATGGATCACGCAGCTGAGAGAGTGTTTGGGGTAAATAAGATGTTTCCGCTACTTCAGAAAGAAATAACAGTTTATTTGACTGCGAAGCCTTTGCCCTGAACTGTTATTGTATT